TTGTTTCCCACACAATAATTCTTTGCCAATCTGTGATCCCACTTCATTTTTGTGGTTTATCCAGACTCTATCCAATCAGCTCCCACTCTCTTCTTCATATACCATTTACTTCTCTAAAAAAAATATTTCTATTTCATTTAGTTTAAATTATTTGTATACAATTTATCATAGTATTTTCTTATAATGTTTTTATTTCTGTAAGGTTGGTAGTAATTACCATAATCTCATTTCTGCTTTTAGTAATTTGAGTCTTCCTTTTCTTGCTAGTCTAGCTAAGGTTTGTTGATCTGTTGATCATTTGGAAGAACCAACTATTGGTTTCTTTTGATTCTATTGTTTTTCTATTCTCTGTTTCATTTATTTCCACTCTACTCCTGATTATTTTCTTCCTTGTGCTAGCTTTGAGTTTAATTTGTCCTTATTTTTCAAGTTCCTTTGTGGTTTGTTGTTGTTTCACTTTGCATTTTGGGTTTTTCTGGCAATACTTGAAATTGAACCTAGGGCCTAGCACAAGCTACACAAGCCATCTGTATCCCTAGTCCCTCCCCCTGCCTTTTATTTATTTATTTTTTAAATGTTGAGATAGGATCTAATTAAGTTACCCAGGCTGGCCTTGAATTTGTGATCCTCCTGCCTCAGTCTCCCCAGTTGTTGGGATTACAGTCATGCATACTGCACCTGACTTCAAGTTATTTATATAGAAAATTTGGGGGCTGGGGTTGTGGCTCAGCAGTAGAGTGCTTGCCTAGCACGTGTGAGGCGCTGGGTTAGACCCTCAGCACCACATAAAAATAAATATTTATATTTTAAAAAAAGGTAGAAAATTTTGATTTACGGATTAAAGATCTTCTTCTTTTTACGTATTTTTAGTTGTAGATGGACATAATACCTTTATTTTATTTATTTATATGTGGTGCTGAACATCAAGCCCAGTGCCTAAAACATGCTAGGCAAGTGTTCTACTACTGAGCTACAACACCAGCCCAAAGATGTTCTTTAACATGGACATTTATGGGTATATTTTCCCATAAGCACTGCTTTTGCTACATGTCATAAGTATTGGTATACCTTTGCTTTCATTTATCTCAGAGTACTTTGTAATTTCTCTTTTAAGCCATTGGTTATTTAGAAATTTGTTAATTTTCACGTATATGTGAATTTCCCATATTTTTTTATTTTATATTTTTAATTTCATTCCATACAGTCAGGAAAGATACTTTGTAGACTTCAATCTTTCAAAACTTATTGAGACTTGTTTTTGAGACTAAACCTGTATTCTATTTCAGTAATGTTCAATGTACACTTAAGAATATGTATTCTGTCGTTGCATAAGATGATCTATAAATGTTCCATCTCGTTGGTTTAAAGTATTGTTCAAGTCTTCTAATTCCATGTACATCTTCCATATTCCATCTAGTCCTTTATTTATTTATTTTTGTAGTTGTAGATGAACAGCATGCCTTTATTTATTTTTAATGTGGTGCTGAGGATCGAAACTAGTGCCTCACATGTGCAAGGCAAGCACTCTGCCACTGAGCTACAGCCCCAGTCCTATCTAGTCCTTTATTAACAGTAGGGTATTGAAGTCTCCAACTATTAGTGTAAAACTGTCTAAAATTACATCTTTATACATTGTGTGCCCATTAACATAGATTTGTTCTTATTGTTTTATGCATTTGTCATTTAAATATTTATTTACTTATTTATTTATAGTTGTAGATGGACATAATGCCTTTATTTTATTTATTTATTTTTAATGTGGTACTAAGGATTGAACCCAGTGTCTCACACATGCTGGGCAAGCACTCTGCCACCGAGCTACCCCCAGACCCATCATTTAAATCTTTTATTAAGAAGAATTACAAGTCAAAAATACAAGCAAACAAGTTTTATACTTGTGTAGTTACATTTACTAGTGTTCATTTCTTTTTTTTTTAATTTATGGGGTTTTTTAAAAAATATTTTTATTTTACTTATTTCTTTTTATGTGTTAATGAGGATCGAACCCAGGGCCTTATACTTCCTAAGTGAGCGCTCTACCACTGAGCCACAACCCCAGCCCAAGTGTTCATCTCTTCACATGACTTTGAATTACTGCCTATTGTTAGCACAAAAGAACTGAACCGGGTGCAAACTTCATGGATCAGAGCCTTTATTCAGCAATTGAGTCAGCTTCTGATAAACCCACTTTCCTAGTGGAAAATGAGCCCCTGGCCAAAGGGGGAGTCTATGATTATGTGGGTTACACTGTGAGGTAACTTAATTTGCCAAAGCATGTCTAAATGCTCGGATCAGCATTCGGTATTTATCTCTTTCCCTCCAGGGTTCCATTGTACTGTCACTGGGAAAGCATTTATTTTGGGAAGGATCAATGCTTTGGCTTCTTCCCAGAGACTGCCAGTCTAGGCTTTGATGGATATTTCCTCTGCAGGGATCGTCTTGCCACTGGATGATGTTTGCTTCCTTTCTAGGGATTGTCTCAGACACTGGGAAAGACTGTATTGGGAAAAGATCAATGTTATCAATATGTTGCCTTCTTCCTCACTCTTCCCAGGCCATGCTATTTTGGGGTTTGTCATTCCACATCTAATACCTACCATCTTTCCCTTTCAAACTGAAGCAAAGACTTTAGCATTTCTTGTAGGGCAGGTCTAGTCATGATAAAAAGTTCCTGTTTTTGTTATTCTGTTATTATTTTGTTATTCTTTGTTATTTGTTATCTTCATTTTTCCTTTATTTTTTGGAGAATTCCAAATTACAATGTGACAATTCTGGATACCAGATTCTTCCCCTTCACACCAGGGCTTGTTGTTGCTGTTTATTGTGACTAATTTTTTGTTTCTTTAGTGACTATCCTGAACTAATTCTATAAAGTCTGTATTCTTTGTTTTGTGGCCACTGAAGTCTCTATTGGTTTAGTGGTCAGTTAGTGATTTCATTTATTAAATGCCTAGAGCCAAAAAAGATAAATAGCCAAATACAAGAAAACACTGTCAGCCTTTGACAATTAACTATGTGTTGGGATAGCCAGGCAACTTACAACACAGCTTTAGCCTTCACTGAACTTGCATATAGCCTGAAGGTGAGTCAGACAAATGTTTTGGGGTCTTTTCTGAGCATACCTCCAGATCAGGACATGTGTATGGCTTTCTAGATTCTCCAGAATCAAAGGAAGCTTTTCAGAGCCCTTATTCCCTCAAGAAACTCCTTCCTCAGCTTCTTTCTTCCCAGTATTATTGGTCTGTTTATTTCTTGCTTCAACTGCCCTCTCTGCAACCTGTGGCAACAGCTGATGTGTGTGTGTTTTAATGTTTTTGACAAACACTGCCCTAGGGAAGTGCTGAAGCAGATGAAACTAAGACAAGCCCTTAGCTGAACCTTCAAGGAACCACCAGACAGGTCAAAACATACAACTACATCAGGAATGTGGGCTGCCATCTTCAAAGCCACCAACCTGGGGAGTAGATGACCATAGAGCTCTGACCAAAATTCAGTAGGTTTTTCCCCCAGTATTTCTCTGGCTGTTGTAAGATTTTTAAAAATCATTATTTCTAGTTTCAAAAAAAAAAAAAAAAAAAGGCGATTCCAATAGTTTTGCCAGCTTATTCATTGCCTTTATGGACAAAGTTACCAAGTTCCCTACTTGCTGCTTTTGTGGACAACACTCCATATCACTTACTTCTGAACTTCCCCATCTTATTTTTCTCAGTCTGGAATGCAGAGAATAAGAAAATTTTGCTATCACTGAAGCTAGCAAAAGAATGTAATGTTGATTTGAAAGCAGGGCCAGAGAACAGTTGCAAAAGCACTATTTAGACATCATCAACAAAGTAACTTTTATCTTTCTTAAAGGCAACATACACAAAATCACCTACGTTGCATTCATTAGGTCCTCAATAACAGAGCCAGTATTTGATAAAGTTTGAAAACACAGGCTTTGGGATAAGACCTTAATTTTTGAATTACAGATATTTTGCCACTTGAAAGGTGTTTAGCCTTGGCAAATCACTTAAATTCTTTTAAGACTTTTTTTGTGTGTGTGTGGGGGGGGTGTTTTCTTTGAAATGGGGTCTAGCCATGCTGCCTAGGCTAGTCTCAAATTTTCCATTCTCTTGCCTCAGTCTCCCCAGTACCTGGGATTACAGGCATCTGCCACCACAGTGCCTGGTTTAAGACGGTTTCTTTACCTGTGACAGAGATAATATACACTTACAAAATTGTGATAATGGCTTAAAAGGAAATATATGTAAAATACTTGACATTCAGTGCTATTTGTTAAATGGATTTTTAAATTTAGTTCTTGATGACATTACAGCACGTATTGTTGGTTTGGGGTTTTTGTTTGCTTGGGGTTTGTTGTTGTTTTTTGGTTTTTGCTGGTTTATTTCTATGAGCCACTGGCTGCCTATGTAGGAAGGGCTTAGGGGTTGCCATATGGTTTTCACGGATTTACTCTCAGCTGACTTTTCTAACAATCACATTATTTTTACCTAGGTTGTATATTTATTTGCGTTGGCTTTGGGAAATCTGCTGGGAAGAAGGGGGCTAAAATCCCCCCAAAGTCTTTTAGTTTAGAGACTAATTTATCAATACATAGAAAACCAACCTAAATGTCTATAAGATGGACAACTCAGCAATTCTATTTGGTTCCCTTTCTTAATTTCTATTCTTTTTTTTTTTCAAACCCAGGTCCGATAGGTTTCTGTAAGGTCCAAGCACGTGACCACATAGTACAAAAACAGCCGCGAAAGCCTGAGAAGACAGACAAAGGGAGGTCAGCCCGACGTGGGGACTGCCCATCAACGATTTTTCTCCGAGGTTGTAAATACGACAGGAGGCCGCGCCTCTCCTCCCAGGTGCCCTGGAGACTCGAGCGCCCGCCGGACCGCACACCTGCGCGCGGGGCGCGCTTCTCCCGACGCCGACCCGGCTCCGCCGGAGAAGCGCACGGCCGCAGGGCCTTCTGGGAGTCGTAGTCCGCGGCGGCCGAGCTTTGACAGAGGCCGCCGGTCCGGCGCACACAGAACTCCATTGCCCGCCGGTCCCCGCGGCCCAAGGCATTGCCTCTTCCTGTTTGGGTGACTAATAGTCCGGCGGCCGCGAATTGCGAGGGTTTGGAAAAGGGTCTACGCTTTCCCGTCCAGCTGGCCTGCTCAGGTAGAGCACGTTTCTGATCTTGCAAACAAATTATCCCCTCCGGAGGGTGGACAGGGAGCGGACGGGAGGCGGCAGGGAGGGCTGACCTTGCGCCGAAGCCGGCTGTCACCTGCGGTAGTTTTTTGGTGTGGCGAGTCGGCACAGCAGCTTCTTGGGGGAGCCGCGAAGCCAAATCCCGGGCCGCGGAGGCTGCTCCCTGGAGGCTGCGCGCGCTCCTCGCCTCCTCACGGGCTGGAGAGCAGTAAAGTCAGGGAGCCCCCGGGAGAGGAAGCGGGCGTCTACTGAAGCCTTGGGGAAAAGGCAAGTGTTAAGTGGTAAGGCAGATGAACATCTTGACCCCCAAGTGAGAGAAGGTGAGTTGGGGTTTTGCAGGAACCGAGTACCCTTCTCTTTTCAGAGTAGGGAATAGCTGGCGCCAGGGTTTAAGGACGGAAGCCCCTTTTCGCCTTGAGCTAGGACCACAGATGGCTTGGGGGGCCATCGCTGGTAAGCGCTTCGCACGCTTGTCACGAGATTGACTAGTGCCAGTTGAGTATCCTGATAGTGGGTGGCTTGGTATGTTAGCTGTCTAAGAATACTGGAGCTGGGAGAACATCTGGCCAAGAGCATTCGCCTCACTTTACAGATGAGAAAACTGAGATTCCCCCGAGTTAGAGGAACCCATTCATCACCAGACAGCCAGTTAGCGGCCAAATTGACTAAAACCTCATTGTCATGAGTCGGACAGTGAGAACAGTAGATTTGCAAACTCTAAGGCGCACCCTTTCCTTTTTTCTTAATCTCTGGGGATCTTTTTGTGTCGTTACACTATTAAATAATTTAGTAGTAAGTTGTTTTTCTGTTTCACGATGCTGAAGATAGAACTTAGGGCCTCATGCATGCTAGGCAAGCTCTCTACCCCTGAGCCACACACTGAGTACACCCCCTCTTTTTTTTTTTGAAACCAGGGCCGCTTAACCACTGAGCCAAGTCCTGAGTCCGATTTTATTTTGAAACATCGTCTTGCTAAGTTGCTGAGGGGCTCCCTAAGTTATTGAGGCTGACCTGGAACTTGCAGTCCGCCTGGCTCAGCCTCCCTACTCGCTGGGATTACAGTTGTGCACCACCAAGCCCAGCTTGCCTTTTTCTTTTTAATGCCTTTGTGGGACATGATATTGAATTGACATATACAGAATAATAGACAACTGCTCAGGGGAAAGGCTTTTATTTAAACTTTTCAGTAGTTCAAAGTAACCCTAAATACGTAACTTTAAGAAAAATTTCTGCCTTAAACAACTACAATTCTTCATATGAAGATAAAAGGTTGATAGCAAAGATAGCACCTATAGTTTCTATGCCTCCAAGAAAACAAAGTTTACCTTTCCTTTCCTATTTATGCCCTTTAGAGCTCTGAGAACAGTTAGAAAATCGTTTTTTCCCCTCATAATCTTAAGTACTGTCTATTGCAGTTACATACATAAAAATTGCTGTTAATAGTGATTTTTAAATTTATTTTATAATACCCTAAATATTTACAATAATGGGTAAAATTAGCACAGAAAGATAGGAATACCAACCTGAATTGCAAATTAAAATGATACTCTATAATATTTTTTTAGAAGAATAGGGCTGGGAATGTATCTGAGAGGTAGAGCACTTGCTTAGCATGCTTAAGGTCCTGGATTCCATCCCCAGTACCAGAAAGAAGAAAGAAACAAAGAAAAAAAAAAAAGATATAATGCCATTAAAGTTTTAAAAAAGGATTAAGAGGTTAAAATTTTCTACCAGGCCTGTATTTCTGTTATGGCATATGTGTTTTCTTCTGTATAAGTCCATAATTGAAAGATTTGTGGCAAATTTACCTAACTCCCTTCCTCTGTCACTGAGCTACAACCCCAGCCCCTCTCTATGTCTTTTTGAAGAGGATAAGTGCTTCATTAAAGGCATCAGCATTTTAAATAACATTTCAAGTTATCACATTTATCTGGTAAACCATTGATTTCTTATTGGGACCTATCTCACTTGGTTCATACTGCTCTAAGAAATACCTCAAATTTAATATTTTATAAATAACAAGTTTATATTTAACAGTTCTTGGAGCACGAAGTCAAGATCAAGGTACAGTCAGATTCAATGTTTGTGAGAGCCTTCTAAAATGATGCCTTCTTGGTATATTTCTCTCCCTTCTACCATGGAACACATATGTATTCCAGAAGACTAAATTTTTAGCCTTTGAGAAAGAACATATAAATAATTGTGTGATGGGTCCATAGTTAAATTTGTTGGTATTCTATTGCAAATTGATACATGTGTGTCCCATGTTAGAAGGGATAGAAGGGTAAAAAGGGGCCTACCTAGTTCCCTTTGGCCCTTTTATAAGGACTAATACTTAGTCATCTCATCTCCTTTTTTTTTTGAGACAAGGGGTCCCTTCCTGTTGTCCTGTTGTCCAGGCTAGCTTCAAACTCCTGGACTCAAGTGATTCTTCTGTCTCAGCCTTCCAAATAGGTGGGACAACAGGTCTATGACACTGTGCCTGGCAGGCCCCTCTTCTTCTTCTTCTTCTTCTTCTTCTTCTTTTTTTTTTTTTTTGGTACTGGGGATTAAATTCAGGGGCGCTTAACCACTGAACCATGTCCCCAGCCCTTTTTTGTATTTTATTTAGAGACAAGGTCTCAGTGAGTTGCTTAGCGCCTCACTAAGTTCCTGAGGCTGGCTTTGAACTTGCAATTCTCCTGCCTCAGCCTCCCAAGCCCCTGGGATTACAAGCATGCACCACAGTGCCTGGCTCAGGCCCCATTTCTTAACACCATAACATTGGCAATTAAGTTCCATTATGAATATTGGAGGGAATACAAATATGCAAACCATAGTAGGACTCCATTTTAAACCAATCTTAAACAATTAGGAACTCCTTATTGGTTGACTTAGCTTTGACTTAATAGTCTCACATCTGTGACTTTGTTTTAAAGCTAAAATATTTAATGAAATATTGAAGTGAATATGTCTGTTTATGACAACTTGCATATTTACCAAAAATCATAGCAGTGTTATATCTATGGCAAATAAATACTGGAAGAGTATTTAGCATTTTAGTTAATCGTTGATAGACTTTTCTGCATTATCATCTATATAATAATAGCTAAGGAACTCTAATTCACCTCTCAACCTAATTTATCATACTCCAAAATATTTTATAGTTCTTATCAAGACATTTAAAAAAGGCATTAAATTGCTTTTAAACAACATTCTAGGGAAATCTGACATTCAGGCTAATTGAGGCAACTGAAAATTACCAGTTTCCTTTCAAGTTCATCATATTTACTTGAAAATTATTAAATATTTGATTAAAAGGCACCAGGAACTTTGGACTCCTCAACTTTAATTACTTAAATTGCTAAGATATTGTCAGTTTTCTGCTTCCTTGAAATAAATAATTTTACTATGGCACAAAATTTCAGGCTTGTTCAAAACAAATATTCATATATTAATAAACTGGAACCTTTATTTTAATTCCTGAATAACACTTAAATTTTCCTATCCTTGATTATTATTTTTTGGTAAGGCTGACTGAAATTCCAGGATCTTTCTAAATTTCTCTTTCCTGTTTTCCTAGCATTCACTCTGTAGTTAAAATATAATCTTCAGGAGTTAAAAGGATCTAGTCTCTCTAAACTCAGTCACATTCTCATATTAAATTATGTGGCAGAGTATATTGGTTACAAAGTAAATTTTGAAGAGTAGCCATCTATTTCTACAGTTGTTTAAGAAGGTATCTTTTTGCTACTCTACTTGGCTATTGTCCTTTTCCTGTTTCACTGCCACTAGAAGCGTTGTTGCTGCCTAAAGAATACCTAACCTTGAGACAAAAAAGTTTGCAATAGGAAATAGATTCATCTAAACTAGTTGACTTCAAGAAAACAAACTTCATTGTGTTCAAATTGCTGTCTGGATACCCAGGCATGCATTTTCAATCATCCTAGTCCCAGCTGTGTTTTAAATAATTTAAGACTATTTGCCATTTTATATATTATTGTGCTTTTTTTTTATTTGTTGTTGTTCTTTTTTTAAAGATATAACAGTAGACTGAATTTTTTTGTGTGTGTGAACACAGTATCTTTATTTATTTATTTTTATGTGGTACTGAGGATAGAACCCAGTGCACACATGTGAGACAAGTGTTCTACCACTGAGCTACAGCCCCAGCCCCTTATTGCTCTTTTTTATTTACAAATAGATTTGTTTTTTAAAAAAGAAGAAGGAAAATAGAAAAAGAAAGAACTGATTTATAGATGTTTCTTTTGTCTTTTAGGTAATCTTATTCTTTCTTGAGGCATATATCAAGTAGAAAAAACATTTGGGATCAGATCAGAGTGACTTGTTTTTATCCCAAACTTTATTAGCTAAGTGATTTTAGGACAAATTTCTTCTCTGACCTTCAATTTCTTTTCTTTCTTTGTCTGTTTTCAATATGAAGATGAAACTTATTTCCCAAATTCTAATGATTAATTGGAATTAAACAATACCAGGTAAGCCATTAGGCCAGGAGGAGGCATTCAATAAGTAAAATTTATTTCTATATTTCCATCTCCTACTGCCTTTCCATCGATTTGTTTTTGGTTTTTTTTTTTCCTTGAGTTTTCCTCTAATATGGTACCATTTTCTTCTTCAGAAATAAATTATTTTCCGTTAGTATTCTTCTGTTTGTGGCAGTTCATTCATTTTATGATGGTCAACCATTTAATTTTTTTTTTTTTTTCAGTTGTAGAGGGACACAATATCTTTATTTAATTTTTTTTTTTTTTAAATGTGCTGCTGAGGATTGAACACAGGGCCTCACCAGTGCGAGGCAAGCGCTCTACCACTGAGCCACAACCCAGCCCCCATTTAATTTTTTTTTTTTTTTTAACCTTGCTGAGTTCACTCCCATGGTACTAAGGATATGAATGTATGTTAGCTGATTTTATTCAGGCCTGAAGTAAGCCAATGCAGATTTCTTTTATAGTTACTTTTGAAGAGCC